ACAGTAAATAAAAAAGACCAGCAAAAGTATTGTTTTTATTTATATTATAGAAAATAACTGGTCAACATGGATCAAACTCCCTTATCTAATTATAAAACTATAGTAACTGATGGTTGATTTTATTCATAGTATTGATTGAATGCAAAGCTTTTCTGATCAATGTTTGATAAAGTATCTTTAATAAAACCAGACGTAATCATACATTTCTTGAGTACTTTGTTGAAATCGTAAAACAAATAAATGAGGGTTCAAAGTCTCACTTTATAATACACAACATTAAAAGGAATTATCGGAGGAGATAAAGGAGATATTACACTCATGAGTGAATCGTCCTACAAAATTTGCTGCACAAATTCATTGCAGTTGTCAGTATTAAAGAAAACCTCAGAATGTAAGTCTACTACATTTAGCGAGGGCAGAATGTAATAACGATAGGGATTATTTTCTGTTATATAAACAAGAAGAAACGATGAATTAAATGAGAAACGCTAAGTACTTTTGTGTATAAGACCTCTACATACAACGATCATTATTAATGTAAACGAATATTATTTGGATTATGAGAAATACAAGGCAACAATGCATTTGTAAAAATTCACGGAATATTGATTTTCTAAAGAAATAACAACTGGCAAAGAAAATGTCTATAGTTAAAAGAAGTTAAAGCGATCTGAAATTACAACCAACTTCAATTCAAGAAAAATGCTATAAAACTCAATTTTCAATTTTTTGTTGCTACAGACATTATTGACTGCCTTGCAGTTAAAATTAATTTGAATGAAATCTCTGCTCAACTCGTAATTTGACAAATGTCAAGAAAATTAGATTTTCCAAAGAAATAACAACTGAGATATACAATTTTCTTTTTATATTTGTAAATACACACGATAAAAACACAATGCTATTGAACTTAAATTTGCAAATCATTTTCCAATGATATACAAAGAGACAAAAAAAATCCTTTCCTACTTTTTGATGAAGAGGATGAAAAATACAATGCTGTTAAAATTAAATTGATCAAGAAATTTGAGAAGCTTGAATTTTTACCTTCTATAAATTATTTTCCAAGCTAAGTTTCGTAACTTCGTTTTTTGTAGTAAAAACCTTTGCAGTTCAAATTATAATTTCCTTTTCATATTTCCGCTAAAAAACTATGAAAGGAAATTCAACGAATATGTATTTTCAATCATTGTCATTTATAGGCGAAGATGTTTCATTGCCAAGTTTCATGCACGATGATTGAGTTAGTGGAACTTAGTAATTTATGGAATTAGGAATGCACTGAAATTGCTGACACCATATAAGAATCCAGTAAATGCAATTAAACGATTGTATATGCGGCGCTGCTTCGGTTAATTGAAATTAACTTCCGATTTCTAATGTTGAGATGACCCATTTTATTGACAGAACACTCATTTGAATTAGAGTATAAAACCGTTTGAAACTGAAATATCAATGCTCTAACTTCGCTATATGTTTTAATGGAAGAAATTGTGAAACCAAAAAGAAAGAGGTTTCGTAATAAAGAACGTTCTATATTCTGCCCATCATGAATAAATAAGTGGTCAAGGAAAACAAACAATTTGACTATTTAACGAAAGAAAACAATGATGAGGATTACTACCAATAGAGTATGTTATCATGATATGTCACAATATACCTTATGCAGGTCATATGGGATCGTCCAGAAAATAATAAATAGATGTCAAAATGTTGACCTCTTCATTATTTCACCATATATCGTTGGACTGCTTGTTAATAGTTATGTTTTATTTAATTTGACGATGAATATAAAATTTGAATTACCGTTTATTAATAATTCATTGCAATTAATTTTGAGGGGTTGAACTCGTGGTATTTTATTAATTCCGATACCATTTAATAACAACAGAGATTGACTATTAGCGACGATCTTTCTAGGTCAATATCATAGCAGGATTTCTTGGGGCATGAATGGTATTTTCTCAAATAAATATGTAGCTGTAATTTAAAAGCTTATATTAGATTATTGTAATGGTTTCTTTCAGCACTACTAAGCACGGCCGAGTCCGCCAAAACGTTATTTTCAACTTTAAATTGTGGACTTCTTATTTTTCGGGCATCACTATACGTCCTTTAACGACTTTCTTGATTCTCATTGATGTTTCGGGTAACTTATCAAATTTTTAGCAGCCGTTTTAGAAACCAGAGTACTTCTGGGGTTAGGTTTTCTAAAGCTGTTATTACACAACTTGAAACTTTCGAAACTCTACTTTTCCGTTTCATCATATTAGCTTAGGGATATAGAGAAATCAAATTTTGAGTCATACAATCAAACATACGTTATATATTATGTACATTGCATGATAATACTCACAAATATTAGGTTGTTGGTTATATAGTTTTAGTGGTATTCATACACTTCTTCCTTTCATGCATGTTGATTTAATTACTGAGTGATCCTGTCTGTTGAGGTCTTATTGTTATCATTCTTCTTAATAGAACTTTCAGTTATTTTCTAATTTTAGTCCGTATGTGTGGTAATTACGGTATACTTCTTCAAAATACTTACTCAGTTTCTTGTAATCGTCTTCAGATACCGGTTCGATAGATATTCTTTAGATTAGTTCTACTTTTGTGTATTGTTTTTCTTCTTTTCAAGTACATACTTACATTTTTATGTTATTAATCTTGGAGCAATTTTAAGTTTGCGTTTACCAAGTTTTCATTTTTTCTTCTTCGGATCAACTCCCGTTAAGGCTACATATCTCCAATGTCTAATGAATAGCTTTCTTTATTTGTTATCATGTTGGTTGGCACTATTTCGTACTTGATTTTGGCTATTCTTGCATTCCTTTCTGTTTGTTTTTCTTTGGTTACTAACTGTTGTAACTATCTTTTTGCTCTCTCCTGATACTTCTTAAGCAATTCATATTTACTGCTTCCAAACATTCCATTTTCTTACTGCTGCGGAACATTGTTGTTCTTGGTCACTCGCTGATTGCTATATTCACTAACTTATAGTCATCAGAGATTTCGGGTAACTTATCAAATGGATTAGTTACAACAGCAACATTGTCCAAGTTTTGAGGAAAAACATGTGTCTGTAGTAAACGAGCAGATTTCTGGTTGGTTGCTTTATAACTTTGACACTCTATATGTTTCGTAATATAATTGGTCACATAATGTCGTAGTGTTATGCAGTCCTATACTGGCTATTCTACTTAAAGTTTGCTTAACGCGACAAAGATATATATAATATATTTATACATCACTTGTTTCTTATCGTGTGTTGATACAGCCATTAAATAACCATAATCAAGGTCCAGTCCAAAAGGAGAATTTGTACATTATTGAAAAAGGTATCCTTTCCAATCTGCAGTAGTGATCAACCCTTCATGTATTTCTCATGAAGACCGTCTCCACAGACTCACAAAGACTCTTGTTACTTTTTTTTTCTATAAGCTTATCTATTATCAGTTTCAAGTCCGGATCTTTTCTTTGTTAAATACGAACATTTTCAAATGATCGATTTGGTAAGTCAATAGCAATCACACATAATATGTTACAGAATCTGACTCTTTATGGTGATCTTTTATAACGTATCAGCATTATATATTCCAGCAGTGAAGTAATCGATCTATAGGAGACTTCATAGTTAACATCCATCTTAACCTTTGATAATCAGGGATAACAGTGGTTATAAAGCCTTATACTCTTGATTCATATTCAACAAGATATTCATCTTCTCTTTCCCCTCGAAGTAAGGTATAAAACCACAACAATTGCACTATTGCAAGTTGAAGAACATCATTAAAAGTTACTTAAGAGTTTCAAGACTTTTTTTAATTGTCCGAATTTGGCGAATTTCTTTGTTAGGTCTTTAACGGTTTCGTCGTTTGAGTAAATTTTGGATTAATACTATCATCCTTTCGGTTTTGTAACATTGGAATATCTACCATAGTATATATGCAGTCTTTGAAGAGTTAACTGTCGTAGATATTTTACTACGTGGCATTAAAAATAACATTTTCTCTATTTAGTCGCAAGTCGAGATGGGCATAAACGAGTAAATATCAATCCTAAGTCATTAACGTGGATATCAACACTTTCATTCAAAATATGCATATATTTCAAATACGCGAATACCAATACATCATCCAAACTACTGTGGGTATCCTTTCTATCAAAAAAACGTAACGTGGCCGTGCCAATTTTATACTCAAATGGCATATGATGAAATAGCAAATATCAAATGGTGAAGTACATGCTCACTTAGAGCAATCTGTTCCAGGTTCGAAATCAATATTAATTACGAATTTTGTCTTTTAGAGTTGAAATGATTGCTCATAAGCAACGAATTTAATCTTGACCACTTTTTTTGACTTAATGCGTCATTATAAACATTCTCTTAACCAGTGTTGTCGTTTTCTATTGTCACGGTTAGATTTTACTACTTGTCAACAAATTAGAAGATGTGTTAATTTTGGAGGGGAAAACTTTTCTGTAGTTTTATTAAGTAATAAACTATAAACCATGTCAAGTTAAATCGTTTTTTTTACGTCACCACTTGGTAATTATGTAAATAACGGTCTCGCTTTACAAATAAAAACATCACTGGGAGTATTTTTGTCTTGTTCGGTATAAAAAAATTCTCGGTAATTCTTATAAGGCTTTTCCACCAACTCAACGCAAAAACATCCAACAACATTGACAATCCTCGAAGAGCATTTTCATCGAATACATTTACACAACCCTTATACGTTTTGATAGCATCTATGAAAACATCTGCATTTTTTAATACACTAAATTCATATTGAAAAAGTCAGGCGAAATTATATAATTAGATTTTGGTCAACATTTTGGACGTGATCATTTATTCTGTTTAAGCTAAGTACTTCCTCGGAAATTTATTAACTCTAAAATTAAGATTAGTTATTATTTATTAATACAAAACTTATTAATTTTTAGATATGTCATTAAACTACTTTGTAATAATTCTTAATTTCTTTTTTTTGCAGTCATTTTTTGGACGAACTTACAACAACAGATCCTCAATATCGGAATGTAAAAACAACGATAAATGCGTAATCAATAAGAAAAATCGGACGGCGTGCAAAGCGTGCAGATTACGAAAATGTATTCTTGTGGGAATGTCGAAGAGTGGATCCCGTTATGGGAGACGTTCGAATTGGTTCAAAATTCATTGCCTTCTCCAAGAGCAGCAGCAACAGGGTGCTACAAACATTGCGGCCGCTGCAAACCTCCTCAGGCCGCACCCTTACCTACCAATGTTCCGAAATCCTCAGCTTTCCAGGGACACGAGAAGCTCGGAGTCAGATAGTGGTGCTTCATCGGCGGATCCCGAGGATGATCTTAGGTCCACGAGTTCTTTGGGGTATATGAAACTATCTTCGTCGCCGTCGAGCGAAAGGGATTGGTCGTCGAGTGGTTCTTCGAGTAAAAAAATACCGGCGTCGGTGAGTGACACTGAGTGCTTCAGTAGACGAAAGTTCGTGGGTTCTTTAAATAATGTGCCACCAGCGTCGCCCTCATCCTTACCAGCCACGTCACCGAGTGGAATTGTTCCGAGATGGTTACCTCCGACTCAAACCACCGCCGATCCTGCGCTTTGGAGAGACCTTTGGATTAGAGCGCCGTTAACAATAGCAACTCAAGCTCTGAATCAAGAAGAACCTATAGATTTATCATTAAAAGACAAAAAAGAACCGACACCTCCTTCGAGAGCGCCGATTGACGGCTCCTCGTCTTCCGAACTAAGCATAGAAGTATGTGTTGAAGAATCGGTGAAGTCAGTGCCTTTAGATTTAACTTTAGACCGACAAACTGATCCGTCGTTAGTTACAAACTAGGATTAACAAAAGAAATTTTTAAATCAAAAATATAAAGTAAATAAAATAAATAAAACGCAGGTTGTGATCGATCGTAAATCAGATTTTATTATTATATTTTTTTACAAAAAAAAAACAAAATAGAAAGTTTATTTTTATATAAATATATTACCTTTATATTGTATTTGTACTACGTAATTGTAATTATTGGACCATGTTCCTTTTTGCAACTCGACTATGTATTTTTTTTTAACGGAGCTCAAGCGTGAAAGATGCCAGTTTTCAACTTGCGCGGCAATTTTTACACTTGCCTCGTAAGAAAATCACGTTGATGTGAGTACCTGATGCGTAAAGTGCTTGCCTAATACGATTCCTTCTCGAAACTGTTAATAGTAGCAGATAAACGTATTTATTGTATTCTACTTTTTTATACTTTAAGGTCAGTTATGGGGTAATACTTCAGAGTTTATTATTTTTTTTTGTATATTTTTGCTGTTATCGTGTATAATACTTCAATAAAACTCGTTCGACATTTTCTATAATTCTCCAATTGCCATTATTTTTAAATAAATGTGTCTAAAATCGATTGTTATAGTATACCTACGAATGATTTCCAGAATTCCAGTATAAGTATTAGTTTACTGGCCAGTAAAAAGTGCCTTATGTTATACATAAAATATTTTTGCTTTTTTGTAATAAAAATGTTTTGTTAGAATTGATGTTTTATTTCTTTACTATCTATCAAAATCATTTAAACAATTAAAATTAAACTAAATTAGCCTTAAACTACCACAAGAAATTAAACACCTTAATTATGGTAATTTAAAACTCATTACCTCACGGTTAGTTCTGGATCTGGATACACTAACTTACTCTTAGAAGTGTTGCGTGAAGTGGTGAAGAGTAAACGGCTCGCTAAAGCGATAGCCGATTATCCGGACGGTTTTCTAAGGCCGGTTGCGTGACTTCGACGCCTTGGGTGGTTCCATGCTACAGTTGTCGGACGCCCACATATCGCCGATATCACGTGTCACCGATATCGGGTACATATCTCTGCTCACGCGATGCCGCGGGCGTATATATAAACTAAATGAGGCTGCATTTGTTTTACGGCTTTAGCGACCATCCACTGTTATCTGCGCGGGGCATTTTTCACTTTTGTCTCGACTCTTTACTCGACTCCGGACTTATTCTTAAGATAAATTGAAAACGAAACTATCTCTTCGAGGAGAACCCTTAAATGTAAATGCGCTGTGATTGTACAGATGGCATGTGCTCGCACACGAAGATCTTAAATGCCTCCTGAAAGCTTTACATAAAGTATAAATTCGAGTTGGAGGAAATAAAGGAATAGATTAAAGAAATAGGTAGGTGTTTGTTCTAATAAAGTAGTTTTTATTTTTCTTAACACGAAGAAAATGTTTTTTTTTATATTATAGTATAAAGTGTAAATTTGCTGTCAGCATTAAATTTATAGATACTATTTTGTATATGCGTACTCGGTTGTGGGTGTGGGAGTAAAATTCCAAGAATCCCCATACATCCAACCGTGTGTAATTCATTGCCGCATTAAGTGAGACATTAATATTGAAATTAAACGTAGTTTCCTCGGAATAAACTCAAATTGATTGTACATCAGATAGCGACTAGGATTATAAGGTGGCTAACCGTAAGCTGCGACGCGGAGGGCGCTCTTTTTCCACAATTATAAACGACCCGCTATAAATTCACTTAATCACCCGGCGATTTTTACCGCCTGAGACGCGGTCGGATGGTCGGTCGTTCGTAAGTCCTGTCAGTCTGTTACCTACGCAAGGCCAACAAGAAGAGTGGTATTGTAAAGGTATCGTGTTTGCGGAAATGCGCGATATTCCGTTGCTTTGTACGAAATTTGAATCTCGCCTGTCTCTCACGGTACAGAGCTGATTAATTTATAGGGGGAGAAACTATACGATAAATAGACAATATAAGAGCGTGATTTAAATGTTTTGATTTCAATTCGAAACGTTTTATATCCTTATTTCTCTTATTTCATAGAGGTTTCATGAAACTAAAGTTGAATTTTCAGTTTCTTTAATTTTCAGTTTTCAACGTGTAAAAGAAAAAGTTGGTTGACGACAAATTTGAGACGTTTTTACGATTGTAGCATGAGTTGTAAGTTGAAGGCGCCGCAGAGTTTTTCTTGAGGACGCTTGCTGTAAAAGGGTTTTGAAAATGGTAGTGTGCCTACTTGAAAATTCACACAGGAGAGTAATTACCGGTTTCGGTTTGAACGTGAAAATTAAATATTCAGTCCTATTTGGAATCGAAACATTTCAGCCTATAAAAGCTTAAGCGTATTCAGCGAAAAAACCGAATGGTCTACCATCGGTAGACGCGCGACGGTTTTTTCGTCGACGATCCGCCCGTTTTCGAGCCGGGGGTAAATTAAATAATTCATAGAACGTGTTTTATGACATGTCTTCGCAAATGTTAAGCATACCGACGGTGCACGAAGGCATCCGTCGGTATTAGCAGTCGTTTGCGATCTGAGCACGCGCCCGTTCTAGTGCCAAACATCCATGTACGCGATGTTTTTGCCCGAAATGCCGGCGAGTTGTTAGAACTTTGCCAATTTATCGATAAATAATTGTGCGATAGATCAAAGACGGAATTCGGACCGCAGGACGTTACGATCCTTAGGCATTTCAATGCCAGACGGAAAGCTTACTATTTGCACCGTTCACCCTGTGGAATACTAATTACAAACGGTCTCAACCTACGTCCGACCAACCAGACACGTACAGACCGAACCCGCAATCATTATTTGAATAAATAATTTAACCGCTGGAAGTGAGTTACGCAATCGAAGATGCGCAGTCATCTCGCAGTACATCGGTATTGTTACGGTAAACGCATTGACGATAATTTATGGAATACATTAGTGGACCTATAAAGTACCTAGCGTTCGGACAATGCCGACGTTCTTTGTATTGTCATTTCGCTTATGAAACGCTCTTGGTACATCGGTACTGATGTATACGGGAACAGGTACACGCTGTGATCAATGAGAAGTGTGGCACGCACCAGGAATGCCGTACAGAAGAAGTATTCCGATGTTAAATGCCAAGTAGGGTTGGCCATCCTATTCGAAACGATCATTATTAATAACTTTATTATCCATTGAGTTCAAATACTCGATTAACAAAAGCATCAGAAATAAACTTTTAAGTATATTTAGAATTTGCGGAACAGAAACGAATTACACTTAATTCTATATCACGACCCAACAATACACTACTTAATTAAAAGCACGTAAAGCTTAATGGCCAGAGTTTAGACTCGCTCCAAAGGTGTAGCATTAACGACGACGAAACCGTGGAACGCTTTAGATAACGGACCGCGATAATCAACGGCGTAATTAAATTTCCCGATCACAAAGGATCATCGAGTGGACTCGCTCGATTCATCATAGTTCAAACCCCTCGCGAATATAATAAACAAATGGCTCGTAATTGAGGTAGTAATTAAGGATGAACGGTATCGTTCTCGCTTTACGCATGATACGTGAATTACCGCCACTATACATACTACTACAGTCCAAGAGGGATGACGACTCTTTTAGTAAACTGCTGGTGCTGCTTGGTTCTCTGTTAATTAACATGAACGAATTGTGAGGCAAATTACCACAATGAGAATATATTTATTATAGCCGTTTGAATGGCATTGCGTAAAGGCAATTAGGATTGAACAGTGTGTTACTCGATTGTCTTTTAGTACTAAGGTATAATAGGAGGACAATTTTAACATTTCACACCAATCATGAATCACGTAATAATAGCACTTTCTTAGAGTAAGGAAGAAGTTTACAACATTTTTAAAGATGACACTTGATTTTATTATATAACCTTACCTTAACACTAAAAATGTTTGCATTGTTTTCTTTTAGTATGTATTAGATTCATTTGTGGCCTTAACGCATGACAGTTTTTTCTTACTAGTCATAAAGTTAACGCCTTGGAAACTTGGGTATCATATTTGACACTTGTAATAAAAATTTCTTGACAGCATCAAGTGTTATGTAATTTTGAAAAATTTTTGTTTAAGGCCAAGGACAGTAGAATCTAACAGGACTGCAAAACATAAAACTTCAAAAACAATATGAATAAGTCTAGGATATAACCTCTAAAAACACAGCAAACGCATAGACCATAACAACAGCTGGGCGTGGAAAATGGTGTGACGTAGTTTGCGGGCAGGTTGTCACAACAATGGATATAGCAGTCCTGTTAGATTCTACTGTCCTTGGTTTAAGGCATAGAATAGACCTGTAACGTCATATAACTACAACTCTCGTCATGTAAAGTGCTTTAGCTTTTAATTTATAAGGTCATTTTTTCACAAATTTAAAGTTTTTGCCTTAACTTCACATAAGGGTATGTAATTATTAAGTTGTAGATTTGAGCAACCCTGTGGAAGGTTGTGATAACCAATTCCAGTGGGAAGCAGTGTGAGGAATAACGAAGACATGAGAAATGGACCTCCGAAAACGGGATTGACAATGAGTCGACAAGCCGTTCCATAAAATGAATAGTCGGTAAAATCGAAATAGAAATCACTAAACATACTCCGATGAATTGTCATACTCATAACCGACGAAAAAGGTATAGGAATTCAAGGAATAATGAGTTAACGCAGTGGTTCTGGAACGTGAGTTCTGTGTATTGGAGCAGAACTATCCAAACACTAGGAGACCTGGCGGAACCATTTGCGGAAGAGGGATTACGACATTTCCTATAGCTGCTATGACAGCAGGCATGAGTTCGGTACTGCCTTTGTCGTAAGCAAATGTGTTAAGGAAAAGATAATTGGTTTCGAACCATTAAGTCCTAGAATGTACAGTCTAAGGGTTAAGGCAGCGTTTCTCAACCTGTGGGGCGCGCCCCCCTAGGGGGGCGTCATAATTCTACATGGGGGGCGCCAACACATCAAAATGAAAAAAAAAGATAATTACTAATAAAAAATTATTGTCATTTTGACATTACAAAAAATTAAGTAAGTACAGTACACGTTTAAGCTAATACACTCGTACTATTACCTAGTAAGGGAATGATCTTTATATTAGCATTATTAAAATGCAGAAGAAAAGGATGTTATTTTACGAAGAGCTGGAAGTGGCACATGACGATGTTCGAAACTATGTATGACATATAAATCATAATTGGAGACTTTGTACTGGAATTGTAAGTGGACTCTGAGTAGGTCAATATTTAGCATACGTTGCAACTATGTAATATTATTAATACGATGTAACGTATGAAAAGGTGGAGTAGTTGCTCACATGTGGAAACAAGGATAATAAATAAAAGTAAACAATTTATTCTTTAATTTAACCTTTCACCTCAATCCAAAAAGGAACAACAGTCATTACATGGCGATCCTGCCAAACTACAGACAATAATTAAAAAAAAATGTAGTGTACCGACGAGGGATACGAATTAAGAACAGAAGAAGGAGTCTTGTAAAGAAGAAATCTATGGATTTGTGTGTTCTATAGAAAAAGACAAATATAAATTTATAAGAAAAAGAATGGGACAATCCAGATCAAAAGAGGAAATAATCATTGCCCAAGCAGGCAACAGTGGTGGAACAACAAACGGCTTTCCAGAAAAATACCATATGGGACAACTAATAGGCGTTGTTGCATCAGGGTTTGCAATTGTTTTATCTAATTCA